CGTTCACGCTCGCGCTCGCGCTCGCCGTCAGGGAATCCGAATTGCCGTACAGGTGCTCTCAAAGGCCTTGGACCTGGGGACATAGTCCGAGTTACTGGCTGGGTAGTTGAATGTTGTCCAACAGGCATGGGTTGCTGTTGGGGTTGAACAAGCGGTTGCTGCGTGATAGGCGCTTGGGCGATGGGGCTGCCATACATGCCAAAAGGTTGAACACGAGGGGGTTGGCCTGACGGCTCCATCTTGGGCTGCGACGTCTCTGCGTGCAGATCGATACCTGGGGCAACAGCCAACGGCCGAGAAGCTGCAGCTGAACTGTCATACCGCCGCCCTCGCCCGCCTGTTGATGGCTGTGGAGGATCAGGCAACTTGTCACCTACAGCTCTCTTCCTGTCAGCTTCCTGGACAAGCACCTCCCACTCGGCCTTGCCCTGATCCTTTTGACGGACGAAGTAATTTTTCACCTATCGAGCGCATTAGTAGTGGACCTACGTGAGAGAGTTAGAACTTACCATGACGGCGGTCTTGGAGCCCATATGGGCTGCGATCCCTGTCCAATCCGAGCCGAACGAGCGCAGAAGGAGCGGGAAGTCATTAGATTCAGACACACTCCAGTAGCTAGATGCCTGAGTAGGCGCCTTGCGTTCTGACGGCGGGTGGGCTAGGTTGAATGTAGCCATTGCAGGCTGAGGCGGTGGGTCAGGCCGAAGTGAAGGCGCTGCCATGACTTCGGAGATGGAGGATGGAGCAACTGACTGCTGTCGTTCGAGGGTTTGGATAGGCTGTTGTGGCTGCTGCTGCTGCTGCTGTACGGGGAAAGGGAGCTGCATACCAGCAGGGTGCTGCTCGAACTGACCTGGGTGACGATGGGATTCAGCGGCTGGGAGTGGAGTTGAAGGACCATCGGTATTGAGCGCTCTGGAGTTTGACCTCGATCGTCCCTTGCCAGGCCCAGGGGCTGCGGCCAACGTTTGGTTCGCCTTGGCTGCCTTGGGCTCCTTTTCCTTTGGGCCTCTTCGCCTCTTTCTTCCATCAACCTTTTCGGGATGGTCGACCTTCGCGGACCCGCCACGTCTACCCGGTGTCGCATTAGGTGTCGAGTTCTCTGTGTCAACTGGAGGCTGTTCGAAGCCCCATGTAGGCGCGGCCGCTCGTCGTGGTCGTCGCCTCTCGCCATTTTCTCCTGTGTCGTGGGTCTCCTCCGTTTCTCCATCTCCGTTGCCAAGTTCCGACACCAATGCACTAGATCGTTGCTTCGCTTTGCCCTTTCTGCGCCTCTTAGGCTGCTTCTTGAGTTTCTCCTTCAGATTAAGGTCCTTCTTGTTCATGTAGTAATACTGAATGCAAGAACCGAAATCACGATGTGGAATCGCTTCGGCAACCCGACCCCATTGCTTAGGTGCTTCCAAGTATCTCTTCTCAAACAAGCCGGCTTCTTCCTCAGTGAAGTTATTAACTGGAGGTAAAACCCGCCATGCTGATACCAGTCGGTCAACAGGCGTGAATCCGCTCTTATCGAGGTATTTGGTGTTGTCCTTCTCTTCCTGGTTCCAAATCATGTTCGGAATGATGGCTTCCTTATCCGTGCGATACTTCTCCTGCTGCATTCTAAGTTCGCGCTCTTTCCTCTCCTCGTCCTCGCGCATTGATGCTTGTAGAACTCGTTCCAAGTCTCTTTCAGTTGCGAAACGTCGTCCACGACCACTTCCTTCATGTTTTGGTTCAGGCGTTACGGTGCCTGTAATTTCAATACCTGTCGACACTGAGAACTTTCCACGGCTTTTGACAGCCGCTGGGTCATTCGACATTGTAAAATCTAGGTACCGTTCGTAGTTGTCCTTATAGATCTTTCTGTCGTGGTCCTGTTCAGCTGACTTCTCTAAATGCATCTTGTCGAGGTGTTCGACCACAAACTCATCCAATGCAATGCTGGAGTCGAGGGTCTTTAAGAAAGTACTATCTTTATCCCAAGGCATACAGCTGTAGTCAGGTAGACTATCGATTGGAGGCGTGGTCATATACTGTCGAACGGTATCGAGGTTCAAAAAAGAATCATCTTCAGACTCAGTCTCGTCGTCGTCGACCTGTGACGGTGTACTAGGTGGTTTTGATGCCGTTTCCGTCGTTTGCAAAACCACATTGGGGCATACCACAGAAACAGGAGCACCTTCAACTGCGACCTGTCCATGTCCAAGAGCTTGAGCGTTCTCTGTTAGGTTCTCGGGGTGAAGCTTAGTAAAAGGTTCTGTATGTTTCTCCGAAATAGCATTATCTGGGTTTGCCGGAGTAGGCTCAAGGAGGGCTTCGGTTGGTTTTGCCACCGGCGTTTGTGTATGCTGTACACCATTCGTCTCTGCAGTTATGTCAATTGGCTTGTCCTTGTCAGACGTCTCCTTGTGGGAATCCTCAGACACCCCCAGAGGTGTTCGTTCCGTCTTCTGAGGCTCAAGTGACTCTATAGGCGCAGTCTCATTTGCTATGTAAGGCATTTCCACGGCCTTCTTGTTGGAAGGAGGTGGCGGACAATCGGGTGCGACTTGGTCGGTCTCAGTAGGAGGCTCGTCGATATCCATGGCTCCTGAGTTTGGTTCAAGCTCGGGTGCAATAGACATCTCGGTATCCTCCTTCTCGGCCTTTGGTGCAGGTTTTTCTGTATGATTCTCTTCCGTTTCTTCAGTAGGCTTTCCGAAAGACTCTTCGATGGGCTGCTCGACAAGTTTCTCGGTACGTTGTTCGTTAGACTTCTCGATACGACTTTGATTGGGCGTTTTATCAAGACTCAGAGCGGCCTCTTCGTGGGAACTGTCATCAATCTTCCCGCCAGCTGCCTTTGCAGCATGTTCGATGGGCCTTTCGGTACTCTCCGGACCACCTTGTGCCGTGGATTCTGGAGCGGGAGCAGCTTCAACAGGCTCCTCAGAACCCTTGACTTGAATTGAATGTTCGGGCTCAGGATCCAGCTCGGCCTGTACCTCCTGGTGCAGTTGCTTTGGTGGTTCGGAATCAGCTTTGTCTGTGCTGTCAACCGCGTCGGCCATTTCTACATCTTCCTTTGCCTCCTCCATACGTTTCGGGTCGTGTATCTTTTCAATGACGCGCTTATTCAGTGCCTCTGGTAGCTTTTTCACCATTTTGAGCAGTCCCTCTCCTTCCCCGATTATCTTGACCATTGAGCCGTGAGACAGAGCTGCAAACCGTGCCATGACTTGAGCTGGCAACTTTGGTTTTTCCAGTTTTCTTAGTTCAGCCTCTGTCTTCCCAATCTCCATATCGAAATAGTCGGCCATATCATCATCGTCGTCAGATTCAGAGTTCTGTTCCACAGGTGCTGGTTTCGGGGGAACTTCGAACCTCAAGGCTCTGATTATTGGTTGCGAACGCTTTCTTCGGGGCGCTTCCTTCGGAGCTTCTCTTGGGTCCCTTGCGCGTATTTCTGACTCCTGGCCAAACCTAGGCATGTTCTCCATGGTCGGTGAAGGGCCGGATCGATAAGAATCCCGTCCGAAAGCATTAGTAGGTCGTGTGTCTCTATCCATCGATGCCCTTGCAGATTGAGACTCCCGTTCGGACTTGACGGTGATTTCTCCAGGTTCCGCGCTATAATTAGTTCGCGCACGATTATCGTAATGTGGTTCCGACTTCGCATCGCTACTACGTGGCCGCCTTTCATCATCGTGATAATGATCATACTGGGAGCTGCCGCGTCGTAAGGGTGGTCGTTGTTGCACAAAACTTGGTGACCTCATCAACTTGGGAGAGTCAGGCCCCTTCTTTAGATTGGGATTGATCCACTGCTTGCTAGAAGGCCTTGGTGGTGGTGGCTGCTGGGCTCTGGGACCAACAGGAATCGAGGGGCCATCATGCATCATGCCTTTCCCAAGACCGACTGACGGCATTGTTGGGTCGTGTCCAGCTGACGGGGGGCGATCATTGAAAGCGCGGGGGGCTGTCGGGGGGATTTTTGTTGCAGCGCTGGCCGAAACATATCCCTCTCCAACACTCAGTCCTCGATTAGGAACGGGTCCGAAAGCAGATGCAGAAGGTGCGGCAGGAGGCGGTGATACCTCTTTGCTGGAAAGTCCCGAGTCCTGTCCGGCATTGGCACGAGCCTCTAATTTATTTCGGAACAGTTCGCGGTCACGAGGGTCGCGATCATCTCGAGTGTCTCGCCGGGTATCTGGGTCAGCATAGCGATCCATCCGGTCCGTCCTGTCTCTGTCATCACGGTCCCTTGCCCAGCGACCCTCCTGAGACCGACTGCGTGGGTAGCGATCACCTCTATCATCCATATAAGGCCCTCTGCCGCGACCTCGCTCCGAAGACCAGTCACCTCTCCCACGACCTCGTCCTCTGTGGAAGCCCCCACCGCGAGGGTAGGGTGCCATGCCGAATTGGGGATCGGAGGAAGATGATCCTGCTGAGGGAGGACCTCCATCTCTTGAACCGCGTCGAGATCTATCGGCATCTACCCCCAAGGGGCCATCGCGGTCTCGAAAATCTCTTGTTGGTGACCTTGCACGGCCGATAGGTGAGCGTCGTGATCTGAAATCCCTTGGCTCACGCCATTCCCTATCGCGCTCGCGATCTCGGTCGCGTTCACGGCTTCGATCATCATGGTAACGGTCACGGAAATCGATGTCCCTATCTCGACCTCGATCTCGGCTGTCGTCTCTTGAAGACCATCCACGACCGCGCCCTCGTCCACGACCACCGCGGAACTCTCCTCCGAATCCTCCGCCTCGAGGGCCACTAGGCGCATCGATCAAGGCTTTTGGTCCGCGAGGTGGTTCGCGTCGTAATGGGTCACCAAAATCACGTCCTGGCTGAAAACCGCCATTACCTGCTCGGGCGTCAGACGGTCGGCGTCTGTCTCCGTCGTTATACTGCGGAGTTCGGTCAAATCGGTCAGGCGAGCGGTCACGGGGTGATCTGGACCGTTCATAGCGTGAGTATCTTGAGGCCCTAGAAGGATGAAGTCAGCATGAAGACGATCCCGCAGGGAGTGAACGGCGTAAGGACCGATTCGTGCGGTGATAATCAGAGTCTCTCCTTCGCCGCATGACTGAAATTGAAGATTATGGGATGGGGCGATTGTTCGTACATTTCTCAAAGGCCGCAGGATGCCCCAAGGAAGTGGTGATTTATGGGCAGCCCATACACCCAGTTACGCAAAAGTCAAAATTGTGACTCCGAATATCGTGCGCCACGTAAAGCCTCGTAAGTTTAACACTGAAGAAATCGGCTCGTCGAAATTTACAAGACTCTCGCAGGCCTTGTGTCGCCGTGTTGTACCCAGATCGTTGACGTCGCGTCTCGGTTACCAAAAAACACCCTTAACCCGTCGAATGAATGGGGTATCAAATAAGAAAGTCAAAACAGACGTAGAACTTATTAGCGTTATTATATGCGACACCGTGTCCGAGACAAGAAAATCGCGTTGAAATGAGGGTCGATATGCAAAGGCGACAGCCTTTTGCGATAGAGGGGATGGTCGGGTGTAGGTTGAAGGTTTGAGGATCGAAGTCAAGCCTCAGGCGTGCATTTGGATACTAGGGGCCCCCATCCTGCAAATTGGAATGGACGCACTGTCGCGTGGCGTTTAGTGGTGGATGGAAGGGCTGCCTAGGCTGCTCAGCGAATGTCCAGGCGGGGGGGCTTGACCCAGAATTGCCGTGAGACGCTAGGCCACAAATAGATCTGCCAGTCGGAGGGATACATGACGGGAGGTGCACATCCACTTTTGAAGCCCCGATGGACCCCGCCGTTTTTTTCAATGTGGAGCCCGGAGCCGTGATTTTCACACGGGAGAAATCATGAAGATAGGTAAGGTCAGAGTTACAATGTTATTAACGAATCATAGAATAAGTAAGAGTCTTTAATGAGAAAAGCATATCTGGTGATGCATCGCTATTGGGAAAACTCGTTTCGTTCTTAAATCTTTTACTCATCCTGGCGTTGTGTTCAACATTTGCTTTGTCCTCGATTGGCCATTAAATTCTGTGTTGTCCACACTACCAATTTACCTAGAAACTTACGATTCGAAACCTCCGACTCACCACTTACATCAACATCTTGGGCGCGAAATCAACGACAATGACTTCCAAATCCGATGCTCCGCCCTCGGCGGCCACAGAGGCTGTCTTGGTCAAGTCCGAGGAGATGCCTGCTGACGCTCAGAAGGTCGAGGAGCTGGACTTCAATAAGTTCAAAGGCCCAATCACTGCGGAAGACCTCTTCGAGGGCATGCGTCACATGGGCTTCCAAGCGTCTTCTATGTGTGAAGCCGTGAGGATCATCAATGATATGGTGCGTTCTGATTCAGAAACTCTATGCTAGAGTTCTAATATGAAAGGCACACCACCTTGGCTAACGACTGTCAGGGTGCATGGAGAGACCCAGAGACGGGGGACAAGACCACAATTTTCTTGGGATATACTTCCAACCTCATCTCATCAGGCCTTCGTGGTGTCCTCCGTTGGCTTGTCGAGCATAACCACGTGTCATGTATCGTCACCACAGCTGGTGGCATCGAAGAGGATTTCATCAAGTGCCTTGGTGACACATATGTTGGTTCCTTCAGTACCCCTGGAGCCGAACTACGTCGCAAGGGTCTCAACCGCATTGGAAACCTCGTTGTTCCTAATGCGAACTACTGCGCCTTCGAAGACTGGGTCGTCCCCATTCTCGACAAGATGCTTGAGGAGCAGGAGGCTAGTAAAGGCACTGAGGAAGAGATCAACTGGACGCCATCAAAGGTAATTCATCGTCTGGGTCAGGAGATCAATGACGAGCGATCCGTCTATTACTGGGCATACAAGAACAATATTCCAGTGTTCTGCCCTGCCATCACTGACGGAAGCCTCGGCGACATGCTCTATTTCCATACTTATAAGACCTCACCCCTCCAACTGAAGATCGATCTGGTTGAAGATATCCGACGTATCAACACCATTGCTGTCCGGGCCAAGCGGGCCGGTATGATCATTCTGGGTGGTGGTATCATCAAGCACCACATTGCCAATGCATGTTTGATGCGCAATGGTGCTGAGTCGGCGGTTTACATCAACACGGCACAAGAATTTGATGGCAGTGATGCGGGTGCTAGACCAGATGAGGCGGTATCGTGGGGCAAAATCAAGATTGGGGCTGATAATGTGAAAGTAAGTCAACAAGTTTCTTCTACTCCTGCTAGCCACTAACCATTTCCAAGGTATACATGGAGGCAACAGCATGTTTTCCCTTTATTGTAGCAAACACTTTTGCGAAGGATGTTGGAAAGTCTGACCAATAGAAAGCAAAAGTATAGAACGTAAAAGTGTGTCAAATAAAGTGTATTACAGGTGCGGGCAACATGTGGTGATCCGCCATCGCAAAGACATAATTGATAAACCACCCATAGTGCCCCAAAGAACTCCAAACCTGACGCGAAAGCAACCGACTTAGAATACAATCAGGCCCCTAGTCGCTATTAATTTGAAAAGACCCTAACGGCGAGTTCTCCTTTTGTGGTGTAAATGCAAATCCGTGTGTGTGCTTACGTAGCCGCCTTCGTTTCCTCGTGGCCGTGCCTAGGATTCACTGTCAACTCTAGCCTTTTTTGCTGGAGGCTCGTCGGTGTCGGACATATCTTGTCCCTGTTCCGAATCAGAGGCACTGGATGTCTTCTTAGCTAAATCTTGGGCCTGTTGGGCTTCTTGGGCAGCTCGTCGTTCGGCCTTTTCTTTCTCAATCTGACCGCGAGGTCGATATCGTCGTTTGTTCCTCTGTCGACGCTCTTCTTTGAGTCTGGCAACTTCTGCTTCTTCTTCCTGTTGGCGATGGATCACATCGAGGTCAAGAATCTCCCGTCCCATACTTTCGACGACCATCCGCCCCTCGTCTAGCGTAGGCCAAGGGTTGAGAACTCCTCCCTTTCTTGTCATCAGCCAGTCCACGACGTCGAAGCCATCGACGCTCCCATCCTCACGTTGAACAGACATACATCCTTCACGCCAGAGTGCGACCTCTTGGCGTGTAGGTCGCTCTCTTGGGCAAGGCGGGAAATGGTCCGGGAGGGAAGGAGTTTCCGAGCTTACGGGGCTTTCCTTGCCACTCTGCGAATCGTCGTCGCTGTCATGTCTTTCTGGGGGTCGAATTTTCGGGATTGGAAGCAGACCCTTGGTATTGATCGTTGGGGAGATAGTTGATTCGCGCTCGTCATCGCAGGTGTCCTTAACTGGGGTGAGGGGTGTGTCCTCCTGCACATACGGCTCTCGGGTATCATCAGACGAGTCGGGAGGAGAGTTCGTCTCGGTGGGCGATGTCACAACATCTTCTACGGGTTCGATGGACAACTGAGGTCTAGGCACAGCCCGTGAACCTAATGGTAAGAGTTAGGTGAAGGAATTTAGAGATGCAGCATCGAAAAGCATCAAACGCACCAGGTCGGAGACCGAAGTCTCGTTGGACGGCATCTCGGCGAATACTCATGATATAGTGCTGTGTTTGGAAACACGGGCGCGACGTTCTCTTGGACAGATCAAATGTTCACTGCGATCGGTGAGTGCTGGTGCGATCGTAAGAGGCGGCGAAAGGCGAGGTGTGATGAACACAAATGCTCTTGTAGTTTGAGAAAATGTGAGAGGAAGGAAAAGGCTTATGTTATTGATAGTAAGAGAAGTGATGTGACAGGAAAGTTCAAGAGTTTATGTGAATGAATCAGAATGCGTTTGGTACTAAAGGTAAAGTTGACGGCTTCCATTTTCTATCACTGGCAGAAACTGCGAGTCTGCCTCTATGTCCCTACCGTAGGTACCAATCGCCTGAGCACCACTAAAGATCCAGACGTATTCAGAGAAGCCCTCAGGCTTCCCCGATACTCTGCTTGAACTGCTTCAAAGCAGAATTCCATTCAGCTATTCCGTCTGTCTCCGCCCAAGTGGCAACCTTATTTATGCCTTCAAGATCATCCTTCATGTGATTTTCAGCCGTTGTTCCATCCAGAACCGTTACGCCTTCGAGCCCCAAGACCAAGGAATAGTACGCAGCTACCTCGGAAATTGCAGCCTTCTCTGCGACCATCTTAACTGGCTTGGTAGCAGCGAGCCTGGGGTTGGCGCTGAAAGTCCAGAATGACTGGAAAGCAATACCTTGCTCTCGACAGTAGGATCTGAGATCTACCTCAAAGTTGGTGTCGGCGTAGAAGCGGTTCTGTACAACACTTGGTTTAACAGTGACAGCCTCGTTGATTGCCTTAAGGATTGGAAGTGTCGTGTTAGAGATGCCTATGTTGCGGATCTTGTGAGGCACATATGTCTCTAGAGTCTTCCACGCAGTGATGGTTTCCTCGAGAGTTCGCAGGGGGCTATGCAAAAGCACGCTGTCAAAGTAAGGTTCCTCGCCTTCAAGGGTGAAGTAAGCCAAGGATGACTGAATAGATTGATGAATCTTATCCACAAGGGGTGCATCAAAATCATAGGGTGCATTTTCATCTTGGTTCCCTGGAGGAGAGAACTTTGTTTGAAGCTGAGGACAGGTCAGTGCCGAGTTTGTTGATGTATATGGTGACAGAACCTACAAAGAGTCCTTCACGTTTAACAAGGCCCTCCTTGATAGCTCTTTGCACACCCTCCCCAACGCCCTTCTCATTATAATGCTTGGGTTGTCCTGCTGTATCGACTCCGCGAAAGCCGTGCTTGAGAGCTAAATAAACAAGATCTGCTGATCTGTCCTTTTTCCACGCTGTGCCATAGACCAGCTTTGGCATGGCAGTGGATGAGCCCTTGAGGGTGAGGTCTTTGGCTAGTTTGGCTGCCATGTTGAGAAGTACCACTGAAAGGAGAAGATAAGGTGGATTGACTACCTATATAGGTAGGTAAGTACACGATTGGTTTGTTGGTGTTGGTAGAACACAGTACTTGGGAGAGACAGCGCTAGAGGGGTATTTGAAATGTGAAGAGGTGGAGTTTGGAGATAGGTTAAGCTTGTGATTTTGGTTAATTACCTACGCCACGGTGAGCCTCAAACAACCTGTACATGGCCAATTTCAACGGCCAACACTCATTACTAGGCAGCCAATCATCGACTGCAAACATTGAGGGTTCCCCGCGTATAGACATGCAGTTTTTGGCGGCCGTCTAACTAAGTCGATGCCCTTATAAGCAGTAAACTTGAAGTTGAGCGTGAGACAGCGCTGAACTATTCGAACACAATTGGAGAAAGTGTAGACTACGTTGAGTTGTACAGTAGGTTCATGGTGATGCGGAAATTAAGCGGACATGACCAGATCATGTAAGTTAGTTTATATCTACCTAGGTACGTAAGGTAGTTGACGTCGATATTCTGGTTTTCAACCCCCACATCGACGTGGGGTTGAGAAATCACAATCAATGGACGGTATCAAGCGCAAATGTTCACGGTTGATAAGTCACGCCATCTAAATAAGCCGTGTTATATTGATCGGCGATCTCTCAAGATAGCTGTTGCTCAGATGTCTTCCTAAAGCTGTCTAGTATCGAACAACGGGCCGTGTCTCCGGATATGCCAAGTGAAATGCATCTCTCCACAACCCGCCTTGGACATAATTGGATTGGATTGGATCTTGCAATTGCCCCGCCATAGCTCTGAGGGGTCGGAGCTCGTCAAGATATGTAACGTCACTTGAGTTGTTGACTCTGAGAATACTTATCAACCTCCTCCTTTTCAACATCTTGGTCCTCTGCGTGGCATATCAACTTCATCACTACTCCGTAATCAGCTGTAATTATGGCTCCTTATACTGCCAAATGGGGCATCTTGGCTACCGGTGGCATCGCTGAGTGTGAGCAGCTCTGTAACACGATGAATAAGGCACTAAACTCTCATCACAGGCTTCACCAAGGACATTCTTACAGACCCGGCCGCTCGCAATGTCAACGATGTACAGCATGAGATTGTCGCCGTTGCATCATCCAGCTCCGTCGATCGCGCACGCGACTTTATCAAGAAGATTGATGGCCCCTCATCCGCTGCTGTCTACGGCTCCTACGCTGAGCTAGTCGCCGACCCAAACGTTGACATCATCTATGTTGCTACACCTCACAGCCACCACTTCCAGAATGCTATGCTGGCCCTGGAAGCTGGCAAGAATGTTCTTTGTGAAAAGGCACTCACCGTTACTGCTGCACAGACTAAGAAGCTGTATGAGGTCGCCAAGTCCAAGAACCTCTTCTTTATGGAGGCTGTCTGGACACGATACTTCCCTCTCAGTATCAAGATTCGAGAGTTGATCCAGTCTGGTACCATTGGTACTGTTTATCGTACATTCGGTAAGAAGAATGCCTGTCGGGGTTATACGATAAAGCTGACCCTCCTGTAGCCGACCTCTCGTTCAACAAGAATACTGATAGCCAGGATCTTGACTTTCCTGATTCCAACCGCATGGTCAATCCTGATCTTGCCGGTGGTGCTTTACTCGATCTCGGCATCTACTCCTTGACCTGGGTCTTCCAATCTCTCTATCATGTCCAGCCCGAGACCGAAAAGGAAGCTCCAAAGGTTGTAGCCTCAATCAACAAGTATCGCACAGGTGCCGACGAGTCCACGAGTATCATCTGTCAGTTCCCTAAGCACAACTCTGTTGGTATTGCGACTACCTCACTGCGCATCGCCACCGACGTCGATGGTCTTTACACTGGTGGCCCCGCGATCCGTATTCAGGGCTCCAAGGGTGAAATCCAGGTTACTGGTCCTGCATTCCGGCCGACCGAGTACAAAGTGATCAAGTCGGATGCCAATGGCAAGGTGGAAGTAGTGAACTGCCCAATTCCTACAGATCCCAAGCGCAACAACTGGGGCCACGGTATGTTCTGGGAGGCGGATGAGTGTGCACGTTGCCTACGGGATGGTAAAAAGGAGAGTGCTTCGATGCCTTGGTCAGAGAGTATAGTCATCATGGAGGTCATGGACAGCGCACTCAAGCAGGGCGGCGTTTCCTACCCCGATCTCATCACCACTGATGTCTTCGACCCCAACAGTCCTCTCAATACTGGCAAAAAATGAAAATACGACGTGTAATGTTGGGCATGATACTAGAATTAATGATGAAATAAAAGCTCGAGGATATGCAGGGATTCCCACAGCATTGAAGTGTACCACGCACCTGCGTCAATGCGTCGAGTGACATGTGAACTCTCACCACTTGCATAAAATGCGCACTACATGCATCGTCAGAGATCAGAGATCCTGGCGCTACAGGCGGGTGCTTCATATTAACGGTTCGTGTCAAAGGTGACATGACAGGGGAAGGCCATTGGGTTTCATAAGCAATCACCAACATCTGACGAGTCTGTCTTGACCGGATGACAAGGAACAAAGCAAGAGAGGGAAATTGGCGCCTGGCGGGTTTATTCCACTCCATGTCGCATTGGCCCGTGGTGCAAATCCAAGGATGAATCATCCAAGCCAAGACACCAATTTACACGCTTCTCTGCTGAAGCACAAGTTCGAGACTCGAGTCTCAGCTTATGATGACGTGCAGCGTACCTTTCAAGCGAGCGGGAGCACCCATGCCCACAGCTCGCAGCCCCTGGCATGAACGGCTTATTATCAATCGTTAAAGATTATCCCAGCCGTGTATGCCCAACTTGACACGGGAGAGGGGTGCAGAAGATGTCCGAAATGTGTTCCATAAGCAAGGCACGGACTTGTTGGTCCCTAATGACCGAGTGGCGGAGGATTCGCGTCGTGTGAATGGGGAGATGAGATGTGAAGACGAGTGATGGATATGATGTGAGAGAGATGAGATTGTGGGGTCCACGATATAAAGACACTGTTGGAACAAGGTACTACTGTCCTCTAGGAGCAAGAAAACACAAGACCTAGCTTTAGGGTGATAAAATAAACTATACAAAAGGTATCCTAAACCCACCCTAAATTTATACTAAGTTACCTAAGTCTTTTTATCAGTTAGGTTTAAGGTCCCAAGTTTTATTTCCTCCCCTAGACTGTACTTGTATCAAGAAGCTTTGACTTTGAGGCCTGGAGGCGGATCCGAGGTGTTCGTGACAAGGGGCCTCAAAATCTAACAGGGGATATATGTAAGAGAGGGGATTTTCTACTTCATACGTAATTTAAGTCTATGTAATCGCAACACTTCAATCCTTGACTGATGAAGCAACTGACTGCATTGTATTTTATAGTGTAAGAATCATCAACTTGGCACTCAGCCACCAATATACCGCACTCGCACGGGGCAATGGTTGGTTTGGTCGCGCTACTGTACTAGCCTGGCAAATTAATAGGCCAGGTACCTAGAGTTACTTGAATCATCAGAGACATTTATTAGTATGAGCCATTATTCATGACTGATGACCGTTGTAGGTATAAGGTAGTAATGGGGTGAACATGTTCCTTCAAGCCACAGGATGAAGACGGAGCCCAAAACATCCATGACTGCGCTAAATACTACTGTGTAGGTAGGTAGTTCCCTCC